TCGTGTTCCAGGGAGCCAATAGCGCCCACATGCTGCCCTTTGTCTACAGTGCTTCGTTAGTTGCCATCAGTCGCAAGCAATCGCCATGACTGAAGGTGCGTACTGATCTTCCACTGCATTTACTTCTGTGCATAGCTGTTCTTTCTTGTCTCCCTTAGTAAGATTATTACGTAAATTACATTTCTGATATAATATTATTTCAATATCTGATAGATATTGAGATTGTTATTACGTATAGTCTCGCAGTAAGCCAATTCGTAATAATCTTACTTTGTCAATAAGCTGCCATACGCCCGCTTGTATATATTGAATAGTATATATTGAAAAATATATTTCTCTTTGTTTCAGAATACAAAGCAGAAAATAGCCCAGCGCGAGGGCAAAATGGAGTTCCTATAATCGTGGTTGGTACAATAAATTATACCTGTATTTACATATGCTTTATTACGTAGGGCCGTTTGACAATGTAGCTGTAACTTCTTTTCCAGACGCCAGTAGGTCAGCCAGTAGGTCAGCCAGCGTCTTACCAATACGGGATGGTTAGTATAATAATAGTACATTATGATACAAGTGCGGAAAGTTGATGCTTCTTTTCCAGACGCCAGTAGGTCCGCCAGTAGGTCCGCCAGTAGGTCCTACAGTAGGTCCTACAGTAGGTCCTACAGTAGGGCCTACAGTAGGGCCTACAGTAGGGCCTACAGTAGGTAATCCAGTAGGACAGCCAGCGTCTTACCAATACGAGATGGTTAGTAAAATAATAGTACATTATGATACAAGTGCGGAAAGTTGATGATTTCTGACGAGTGTGACGTTGGCAAACGTCAACGAGTACACGAGTCTTACGAGTAGGAATCACCAACCTGCACGCGTATCATATACTATTTTTTGCAATGCTGTACGGAAAGTAGACAGTTTGTGCATCAAAAAACAAGTACGATATTCCATGCGGGAATGTTATGATTCCCGCACACTCTCAACTCATCAAGAGTGGACCATTTTGTGCTTGTTTTTTGGTGCACAAACTGTATACTTTCCGTACAGCGTTACAAAAATTAATATAACGCTGTTAGATTGCTCATTTGCTGCATGAAATCAGCATCTCCATATACATGTATAATAATTTTCATTATGATTACTTTCAGCAGTAGTGCGGACCAAATGCGCCGCCCGGGGTTAGTATTTATTATTATAGAAAACTTTGTTCGCGTGTTTTGTCTAGTAGACCAAAATATTTTTATAAATCAATATTTCTGTTTTCAGTATGTACTGTATGGGCCACCGCCCGATAATGGGCCACCACCCCATATTTACTATGGGCCACCTCCCCAGACCTATGGGCCACCTCCCCAGACCTATGGACCACCTCCCCAGACCTATGGGCCACCACCGACCAATGATTACTACGGGCTTCAGTATTGTGGGCCCCTTCACGCGTCAGCGGCGCCGCGGGGCGCCGGGGGATATTCGGTAAGTTTGTAAAAACATTTCTTTATCTATATCCTCTTGTCATTCCTATGACTACCATTATTATAAATAATGAATCTTTCTATTTTTCGCAGCAGCAGCCAACTCTGCAGCCAACATATGGCTGGGGTGTTACCCCCAGTGGCGGTGGAGTTGGCCACAGAACAGGCGCCCCCGGCGCCGCAACAACAACAATAATAACAATAACAACAACGGAGGGGCCCACAAATGCTGTAGTCACCACTGTTGTCATTGAGAAAGATTTCAAACTATTTTGTATTTCATTAATAAAATAATTAAAAAATAATAATGTTTTATCCAATGCTTCCTTACCCATCTCCTCATTCCCCTCTTCGCATTCGCTCTCGCGGAACTGTAGTTTTTATAACAGATTTGTAGACTCTCATAAATTCCGCAGTTAGATGATATACTTGGTCAAGGAAAAAACAGCAAGGGAGGTCCCTGGGGTAATGG